TCCCATGTGTAAATGTGGCCAACCAACATGATTCAGGTCAATGAACCAAGAAACTGTGCTCAGGGTATCACTGTTTTATTTTTTAATGAGATTAGATGTACCTGTAAAACTGACAGGATCTGTTGTGAATACAGCTTCCGTCTCCTGCAAATCAAAACAATAGAAAATGCAAATAAACACAAACAATTCACACCAATGATTCAAATGAAATCATTGCTACACACTTCAATTGAATTGAATAACGTATCTAAGGATGCAACTAAACATACTTATATCTTACCAGCTCTGTTTCTGAAATCATTCCAAAGAAGACTTCATACGTTGACCCAGGTACCAAAGGTGCATTGTAATATTCATTGTACAATTCACCATTGCCGATGACAAACTCCCTCGGTAATGCGTTTGAGTCAAACCCGGCTGTGACATAATGCTCTGTACCTAGCTGTTGAGCACTGTCATAGTCCACAAGTTGCCAACTATCTTCATCCAATATGGAGTAATCATCTCGTTTCCGTCTTTTAGCTTCTTTTACAGTCCGTAACACCACTTTATAAGAACTGTATATAAAGATTTCTAATGTTTTGAATGATACTACAACAAAGTTATTAGGAGATTATTGCAACTTTGCAAAAAGAAAGTATAGCAAAAGTACATTGTTTTGACCAAATACCAGAGTATCGCTGAAAATTGACAATATACTGCAAAGTTACAGAGATACGGTTGTATTATAACAGACACAAATAATTGTATTATGTAGTTCCTGTGAGTTATCAAGCTGGTTGCACAAAAAAATCTCTATTTGCAGACAGAAGACCAATTCTGCCAGATATCTGCTAAAAGTTACTGACATAAAAAGTAGCACAAAATTCTATGAAATGGCAGAAATGCTTGATTTTGACAAATTCTTAGCCCAAGAAATGCCATCATTTGTCATCTTAAAATAAGATCACCAAGCAAATAGACGTGGATTTAAATGTGATCGATGCAGGCATGTCTGAGATACAGGTGAAAAAACTTGCACATGCAAACATGCACAGTGAGTTGAAATTCCTCCATACCTGATTGGTGCATCCTGGCTTTTAATTGGTTCTAATAATACCAGCTGAGTGGTTAGTGTGTTCGAATCGAGGAGCACTGGTAGTCTGATATCAGATGGCAAAGGCACTGTATGCAAAAAGAACAAACTCTAAATCATGCATGAGAATAAACCATAACAAAATAATCATGTTTTTTTTTTTTACACAATAATTTGCAAGTTCTTTGATAAGAATAGATACAGTCAATTTCAGACCAGTTTAAAATTGTGGAAAATGCTGCAATAAAAGGGTTTACATGTACATATCATTGTATTTATTCTGAAACCAACATGGTAGCTGGTATTGCAGCACAGAGAACAGTGTTAATGTCAAATTTCTTGGGTTGCATTTGTGAAAAGCAGATGAGGGGCTTGCTTCATCAGACAGTGTGACTGAAAATTCCAATACAGATGTGTTTTCTGAATGATGAAGGTATGTCTACGGTCAAAATAATTCATATTAAAGCAATTGTATTTTAAAACAAGCAGCCTATCGGCTGAGATAGCTCCGCTGTTAGCAAGGCACATTTCAATTAAAGAACTGAAGACATCATTAGAAAATGAACAATATGAATAGTATCAAAGCAATCGGACTTACAGTTTTTAACAAGAAGTCGAAAATATCACTTTTTACCAAAAATTACAAAAATATTCACCAAAATAAATTAATTAGAGAATTGAAGATATCATCACAAAATGAACAAATCTGAGAGAGGTCCACATGTAGTACCTATATATGTAATATCAAAGCAATCGGACTTGCGGTTTTTAACAAGAAGTCGAAAATATCAGTTTTTACCAAAAATGACAAAAATATTCACCAAAATTAGAGAATTGAAGATATCATCACGAAATAAACAAATCTGAGAGAGGTCCACATGTAGTACCTATATATGTAGTATCAAAGCAATTGGACTTGCGGTTTTTAACAAGAAGTCGAAAATATCACTTTTCACCAAAAAATGACAAAAATATTCACCAAAATTAGAGAATTAAAGATATCATTACAAAATGAACAAATCTGAGAGAGGTCCACATGTAGTACCTATATATGTAATATCAAAGCATTT